AAAAGGTTGCAAGAAGTGTTAGTGCAAAAACATGTGTAAGTGCATGTGTAAGTGAAAAAAAAAAACAGGAAAACACTCCTGTTGATCGTCATTCAGCACAGGGGAGAAACACGCCCGACGCGATATTAATATAACGTCGTGCAGATGCTGATAGCAGTTCGATATGAAATGTTTTTTCCACACTTTAATATATTCGAAATGTCTGCATTTATCGTAGAAAAATCGCCGATTTCTTCTTCGAATGTTTACCATGCAAAAAGTTGGAAAATAAACGTTTTCATCCATTATTTTACGACCCTTATTCGCGCCCTTTATCGTATTTCTTTATCAGTTGAGGAACAGTGAGACTTACCCTTCCTCTGGTGCCTTGGAATTGCAGATGAACGTCATGCATGTTTTCTACGGAATTGTCCTCTGCCAAATAAGTTTTCTGCCGAAAATTCGAATCGTTGATTAGCGATTTCCACGACTTTCACGTGAACGTGTTTGTCACCTCGCTCCTCTTCCTCCGAGCCTGCTCGAAATATGCGGCGATGTTTCACCTTATAGATTTTCTCTTTCCTTTCCTCCTATCGGATGTTCGTCTAGTTTTTCTGTAGTAGCATGATTGGGGAAGGTCTTCTACACATGTGATCGGTCCTGCGACATTACAGTTGCAGAACATCGATCTGTAAAGAAAAAAATAAGTTTTTTTCTTAATTAATTTTTCTATTTTTTATTATTATTTCCCCACCAAGGTTAAGTGCGCGGGGAACATTAGTTTTCCCGCCATTTTTAAACGCGTGTTTTTTTTAATCCATTAAATGATGAAAAATGATGTCCTCAGTACCTTCCTTCGAAGTACTGAACATCACACTGAAAAAAATTCACATTTGCACAAAAAAAAATTTTCACACGAAGCCACACCGAAAATCAGAGGGTAACATATGTACTTCGCGCATTTAACGGAGGAAGTTTTATTAGAGAGACTAACCAAGGGAGTGGATCCGAGTTACGGTTTTGAAAGAACACTCATTGATTGATATCGTGTCAGTCATGATAGAAATGACCAATTAGAGCATAAAAGGCGTACAAACAGGATTTTCAAAGCCAATTAACGGCAAAAAGGTCTCCCATAGATTTATTATTGGAAGTTTGAAAGGTGGAGTTTCTTGGGAATATTTATTGCTAAATGGTTTTGAAAACATGTTTATTCGTCTAAATCAGTGTTTCTCAACCTCTAACGAATCGTCGCCCCCTTCAATACGTGGTATCGCTCCCCTTCAATAAAACCATTACCTATTATCGCCCCCTTCACTTCAAAATTCCGATGCCGAGGACCAAGACTAACGCCAAATTCGTATTGCATTGAATAGACTAGTGACTAGTATAATGTTATTTGTTTAATTATTGTACGATCTAACGAATAAAATATCTAATTATTCTTTATATAATGTTTTACTATATAGCCCAGAAAATTGTTTTTCGCCCCCAAAATATAAATTGTTAGTAATCGCCCCGTCAACATGGAAAAACGCCCACATGGGGGCGATATCGCCCCCGTTGTGAAACACTGGTCTAAATACTGTCAAACAACTTTTCGTTAGCAAATTAGAAGTGAAAAAAACGATTAAAACACGCGATTTTATAGCGATTGTTTACATAATTCGAAGTGGTAGCCTGCAGGGGCGTGGCATTTCGCGGGAATTTTTCCGGCAATTATTTTTACAGGTGGATTTAATAACAGACAAATAAATTAACCAATTACAGTGTAAAATAAGTTTACTATCGATATTATCTGCCAATAATCTGCATTTTTACCTCTAGTTGCTGTAGAATTTTAGAGGGTGTATTTTTGGAAATACTGAAATATTTTTGACCCGGGGTTTGAGAGAAAGCATTTAATGGTTGGGACAGTTAAAAAAAAATACGAGAAAGCGAATCAGCGCTTAGATAGCAACAGGCATGTTTACAGTTTGTAAAAACACTTCTGAAGTTGACGATTTTTTCCAGAAAAATTCCTAAAACGTAAGACTTTTTTGTTTTCGTTATAAATAAATAAAAACGATATATTTTAAGTAGTTTTGTTGATTAAGACATAAAAAACATATTCCCACAAACATCTAACATGAAAAAACCGCGAAAAATCTATGACTTTTCCAAAATTGATTTTTGAAACTGGGGAACTATAGTTTCCCCGCGCCCGACTCTGCGTGAGGTAAATAGTGCGCTTGGTTGTGGGTTAAAATTGATACCTGCCAACTAATATTAAAATATTACCGGCTCGGCCCGATCCTCTTTGGAAAGTTTCGCAATGAACTCTTTCGTGTAACATATAATTCTTTAAATAAACAATTAGTTTTAAAGTTGTTATTTGGGATATCTTTTAAATGTCAAACTACTATTAATTAATTAATGTTCCATTATTGTAGTGTGTTGGAGCGTAACTGTACAGCATACAAGCAGGCATATTAGTCAAAGATTATTAGTTTTGCACTGCGTTCGTTTTGAAATTTTTTTTAGATATAAAAATATAGTAGAAATCGTATAAATTTATAGTGCTTTCAGTATTGTGTATATCCCAAATTAAAATACCACGGAGTGTTGGACGAGAGAAGAGTTTTGAAGAAAAATGTAGCAAGTTTACTCCGTTTATTCTAACATAGTGCATGGCTAGAAGAAAAGATTCGGTTGCCTTTTCTCTCTGCTAGCCAAAATATATTCGCGGTTTCTCATTCTTGTAACATAACAGGTTGAATTGTGTGTGTGAAAAATAAGTGAATATTGACCTTAGTGAAAATAAGTAAACATCAAAGAATTTTTACGTTAAGAGGTTAAAATATTTATTCAGCCGAACAATCAATTAAATTCATGTAATAGATTTCCAACTAAATTTTCACTCATATCGCTAACGTCAGCTATATTACCTGTGAAATACGCACAAGAAGGTGAAACGTATTGCTATATATTTAACGTTCTCTATTTGTAAGTTTTATTCCTTTAATTACTACTGTACTACCGACGATTAAATAATTTTGACACATTGTTTCTTACGAATTTAAAGTTTTAGAGGAATAGTTATTCCTCGTGGAAAAGTTGCCTAAGGTTAGAATAAACGGACTATACTTCAAATGTTTGTATTGACGAAAAAACCGAAAAGGCGACTACCAACGAAGGTTCTGTACAAGTCCAGACACTAGAGCTATTTAAAATAAACCAGCAACTAGTGCTCGATTACTATCGATAGTCCAATTTTTTATCGTACATAAATAATGTTTATTTTATATCATTGCGTTTTAAAATTATTTTAAAAAAATTTAATATTAAAATAACCTTCCAGTAAAATACTATCTGTTCTTTCTAAGTTTGACCGTTAGTCGTTTTGTTGTCGGTACTGTCAAGGAAAACAATATTTCTGTTATATTTAAATTGTAGAATGTCCGTCAAAAAATTAATATTTGTATATCCAAATTGATATGAAAGACAAACAACTTGAGAATTATATTTTATGTAAAAAAAAAAAAAAATGTGCAAAACATTAGGAAACCCATCAAATTTAAAGGATCGTATAAACCTTCTACGTTCTGTTGAATCTAGAAAAGCTTTTATTAGCAATAATGATGATTCGGCTTCAACATCCAAAGCTCGAGATTTAGAAAACTCATCACCGAAGTGACCACTGACACGACAAGAAAAAGTCGTTATTTTACCAGGGATCCAGATGTTTTCGATATCAATAGCAAAAGGGCAACTAATATAAATAAAATATTAGCAATATTCATTGCATGTGATTCATGACCGCCTTCTATTCTTTAAGATAAGGGAGTCATGCAATTTATACAAGAATTAGAACCAAGATATAAACTGCTCTCACCAAAATACAGTATATACTGTATTTACGCGTGCAGTAACCATAAATGTAAAATAAAAGAAGTAAAACGGCAAAACCATATTTGGGACAAGGCTATGTCTCGGAGACGGAATCACTTTGATGCTCAAGGCAGGTCTCGTTCTCATTCTCCTATCTTCTTTGATATCGCTGCTTTTGGGCACGACGTTCAAACTTCGCCGGCCACAACCGCAAGATCGTCCACGATGCATCTTCGATGAAATTAACCTATCTAATTTCAAAATTTCTTTCCGTTGCGTGTCGGCCCGGGTTGAATTTTTGTCGATGCGTAACGAAAAGTTCCCGTTTTTGAAAAAAATAATCGTGGCTATTGTATCGTCCGAAATTATTTTTTTATTTTGCACAAACAATATACAGTTTAACACAATTATAATGTCATTGAATGTAACGACAATCCTAATATAACATCAAATTTTTATCGGTCCTACGATTTTACTATACTAGATAATGTTAAAAAAATCCCATAACGACATAAAACCGTTTTAACGTCATATTTGAAGCACTCCCAAATTTACAAAATTAGATTACAAATTCTATTTAACATACAAGAAACTACGTGTTCAGTCCTAAGGTCAGAGTTCACTTCTTAGAATGACTGTGGGTGGTACTCTCCCCACCTGACTTTGGCGGGGTGAAGTGCCTGTTTTGCCTGTTTGTAGAAGAGGGTCGCCATTTTGTATTTTATTTTGACTCGATTCTCGGTCTCCCGACTACCTACGAGTCTGGATTTTTTTTTATACACAGATGATTTGGGCACCTAATACTCTGTGCCAAATATCAACTCTGTACATATACTCCTTCATATCTCTATGCTGATAAGGATGGGTGGCAGTACGATTTTATAAACAAGACATAATCTTGTCAATACAAAATAATATTTAGTCTGTGATTACTTATTTTGACAAACACAAGATGTGAAAAATAATAAAATTTTGAAAGTATTTTTAAATTTTTTTCATAATAACATATTTAATTATATATTATTATATATTATATATTATTATATAACACAGTGATGATCAATAATATCTTATTTATATGTCAAAAATAATATAAATACCATATATGTGCATTTATTTACACAGTGGTAAATAAGTATTTTATATTTTATTTGGTACATTCATTCTTAATCTGTTCTTAGCTTTCGAAATAATAAAAAAAGAAAAAAAAATACAAATAAGGTACAGAAAAAAATGTCAGGTGGCGCATCGGTGTCATATGATGTGTAAATTGGAATTAACCAATACATCAGCTGCTTACTAATAAAAGAAAATAGTGTATAAAAATTAGCAATTTATTATTTTACATTTATATAAATTGATCCACGTTAAAATGTTTATTAAGTGGAATGTATTTTCGGTGAAATAAAATAGCATCATAGAATAAATATGGAATATTCTGCAAATACCATTTAGATGCTGTGTAATGAATGAAATAACTGAAGTTATTGTGGAAAATTTACATGGCATTCACGATGAAACGTTTTGTTAACGAACACGAAAATAATCTGGAAAATAATGAAAAGAAACAAAAAGATCCCCAGTATCTTCTTAGAGTGGATGAGGTACCAAATTATTTACAGTTTAATCGTTTTGTTCTCGATGGTTACAGGCCACAAATGACATTTTGGGAATGTTTAAGAAGTCTTACATATCTCCATAATGAAACTATTAATGTTTTATCTCATGGTAAGTCCAATGAATGTAATCATCTGAATAAATGATATTTTTTCCATATTTTTAATTAAAGAAGAGAGTTAGTGAGAAAACAACAAATAAAAATGCTTTTGGTTAATTCAATATCAATATTTTATACATTAACAAGCAGGTAAGCCCAGTGTTGCCCAGGCAAAAAATAAGAACAAACCTTAATTTCATACATCTAACGCTTCCATTATATTATATTATAGAATTTGGTTTATATACTACAAAGGTTATCTTCCATAGCCGATCTTACTGTTTTCACCAGGTGCAAGAATTAGGTCCCCTTCTTCCGAAGCTAATTACAGAATTTTTAGTTGGGTCTAAAAATATGTTTGATTTTCCACAAAAACACAAAAATTTGAATCTAAAATAGTACAGTAGAAGCCGAATTCTTCAGGATAATCCTTAACCCTGCTGTCTCCCTCGCAGGGAGAATTTTGAAAAATCCCTTCTTAGTGTGCATTCTTATGGCATATCCTAACTGTGTACCAAATTTCAATTTTCAACTCCTAACTGTTTGGTCTCTGCACTTATTACTATTATCAACCCATTTTGATTATAAGATATTAAAATTTCTTTTAAAACACATTTGAAACTTTTTGCATTAACAGGAGAAACAATAAACAAAAACATACATACTCGTGCCTCTAACCGGTGTGTAGAATTTTACACACCAGTTAGAGGCACGAGTAAGTACGTTTTTGTTTATTATACACCTCGGTGTGCACGAAGAAGTTATATTGATCAGGAGAAACAATAATATAACAAAATCTGGAGATGAATGAATTTAACATTATTAGATTTACCTTAAATGCAGTGGTGATATTCAGCGGGTTCGCACAGGTTCGGCCGAACCCGTTGTTAACATTTTCAAAGTTTTCCAAACCTTGTTAAACATATATAACATTTCTCAGTGGTTTTGTTTCTTTTAAAAAATATATTAAAATATACGTATTATACTCTGTAACACTACTAAACTAGAGCCTTCCGATGCACTTTGAGCGAAAAAAATTGTTAAGGAAAAATTTTCTGTTAGCGAACCCTTTGTTAAATGTTTTGAATATAACCACTGGCTTAAATGGAAAAGTCTTTTTAAATGATTCAACTAAAAGTGGCCATAAACATGATGTATTGATTTTATTTTATGTAAGATTAATAAATCAAAAATATTTACTATCTTAAAATGTTTAAATGAACATTTTCAGATGACACAGTCATGTTTTAGTTTTATAAACTAGAAAATTAATTGAACAATGTACATGATAATGAATGTTTTACTGTAAAAATTTAACACTGTTTTTCTGATAAGATTTTAATTACTGTTGAGTCCACTTAAGAGAGCACTTCTGGATTGCTGTGTTAAGCTTCTTTATTTGGGCTGCTTCTCTTATCTAAAGTAACAAGATCACTCAAGGGGTTGTTAATGGTATTTGATTCTCACCACTTTTTCATGTCTTGGGAGCTCTATGTAACTTATAATACATATGGAAACATTAAAATTCCTTATCACATATTTTTACTATCCTATCATATTATTTCCCATTCTTATGTCATCAATTTTATTGTTCTATTGAATAATTAGTAAATACAGTAAAACCCTGATCTGACATTATCTGACAGATTGGGAAAAATGAATGTTAGTTGCAAGAAATTGTAAATTGAGAAGCCACCATAATTAAACCCAAATAGCAAACATACAGAAAAATTTCACATATGAATTTTAATTCTGTATACTGTATAATACAATAAATAGGGCCATAAAGCTGTTTATTATACAGTTAAAAATGAGCAACAATTTAGCATGAACCTGAGGACATGAAGAAGTCCATCATTTTATATTGGACTTTCCATGTCTTGAAAACATTCTTGAGGAGGCCTCTCTCCAATTGTTGCAACACAGTAAGCATGTCATCCTCACTGTTAGCATTTCAGAAAACTAGACCTAAACTCAGGCTCTCTGTGATCATTGTTGGAACATTTACTGAGTTCTGCTGTTGAATCATTTATAGCACTGGTGTTCACTTCCTTTTTGACATATAGTTTGTCAACAACAACATTGTTACAAGTCACATATTCACCAAAATCTAGGAGTGCTCTATTGAAATCATCTGTGGGTGCAATACTATGTCAGTCGTCATCATCAATTCTGCTTTCTGCATGAGGATTATAATCCACCAGTGACACCTTGATGTTTTTGGGATCTGAATCCTGAAAGCTAGTCTTAAAGCAATATGTGATTGTGACATGTTGATGGCATCTCAAGATGTGGTGACATAATGCATTACTTGAAGTATGGCAATCCTTAATTTCATGGCATCCATTCTACATCACAACATAGAAATAAGCTTTTGCACCAACATTTGTTGGTATGTTACCTTGAAATTGTAGATGATTCCTGCATCCAAGGGCTGCAACTGACTTGTACAGTTTGTGGGTAATAAATGAAGTTTAACATTTCTCAACACAAGATTGTGTGGGTGTGTGGTGCACTGATTGACAAACAGGATGACTTTTCACAACTGGGCCCATTTTTGCATCAAAGACCTACAGAAACTATGAAAAAGTTCTATCATTTTCCATGCTTTAGCTTGATTTCAATATTGGTGAGCATTCTTGAAGGCTCTTTGTTTTGCAAACTTCCCCACTACTTCAGTCTCCAACTTCTCATCACAATCTGTATTACAACAAAGTAGGATAGTTATTCTTTCTTTACTGCATTTGTCCCCATGGCAGTCATTGTCTCGCAGACCATAGGTCTTATCTGACAACATGTTGATAAACAAACCTGTTTCATCAGCATTAAATACATTTTGAGGAATATATTTGTCAAGATATCTTGAAACTCTACCCTACCTGGTAGGGTAGAGTTTCTTTTCTCTTTTCAATTGTGTTGGCATCGACATTAGCACTTTCTCCTGAAATGCTACAGTACATGAATCCATGACTTCTTCTAAATTTGTCTATCCAGCCATTTGATGCTGTAAATTGATTTATTGCAAGTCTAGCAGTGACTTCTTTAGCCTTTGAGTACAGTTTCATTGATAGGGATTGATGCACTTAAGAACTTGCTGCAACCACTTAACAAGCAACTATTCCATTTCCTCCATTGGTGATGACTTTGCATTGTTCTGATGTTTTATGGATGTGCCATATTTGTTCATGGCTTCCATAACTGAATCCAGTTTAGCCAACATAGAATTGAGCGTTGATGCAGGCATTCCAAACTGTCTGACAAACGGTACACATTTCACCAGTGGATTCTTCTCCACTTTCAGAATTATGTCCATATTCTGACTTAGTGTGAATACCTTACACTTTAGTGCCATTCTGTTCAGCAAACAAGCAGAGCAGATTTGCCTACACTGTACTGTACTGTATATATAGTATAGTATAACACTACTGGTGCTTTTCACCTTTGATTGACAAGCAAACAAGACCATATGTTAAACAAAGAGACCTGTTTCTCATGTGACTTCACTTCCTCTCCCTTGTCTCTAGATGGATAAACACTTTATCCCATGGAGAGGAGAGAAGCCTGAAAGGTTGCAAATGTGCAGCCATGACAAATTGTTTTATGTATTAGCATCAACAGTTGGAAAAAATATAAGATAGGGGAGATTGCTATGGAATTATGCTTCTGTGGACCAGTATAAATGATTGTTAGACAGGAAAATGCTAGATGCAAGAATGTTAGATCAAGGAATTAATAACATGGGTTTATATGGGGCATTGGTTGAACCATCTGAATAACAACATTAGATACAGGAAAATGTTACATCAGAAGTTCACTGTACAGTATATTTACCAGTCACATTATGTTCATTTCTTCTCAGAAATGCAGGATACTTAGCTGAAAAGATGTGAACATCCATGCTTTAAAATTTCTAATGCTCTCTAATGGAACATATAGTGTAAAAACAAATAATTACAGTATTGTCAAGCAAGGTCATTTCACCTCTGAAATCTTGTTGCTAATCACTTCTTGTCTTGTCCCTTTGAGATGATGCACATGATCTGTGCTGTTTTTTCATATATATTTTATGATGCCTTTTTAATATGAAATTTAAGGATGCACCGATTAATTGGTAAGTAATCGGTAATCGGCAGTATCGGCCACTTAGCCAATTAATCGGTATCGGCCATTTCCCCGATTAATCGGTTTCAATAATCGGCCAATTTTACATTTTGGTATTTTTGTTAGAATGTTATGTACAATGCTAGTAATAAAAACTAATAAATTTCTGTTATATATTTATTATTTATTACATGACAAACTGAATATTAAAAAAATTTTACAATTTAAATTATTCCTTTTATCGATACATATTATAAGTATAATATAACGTATAATATAAAGTTTAAACTTTAAACGTATAAAAGAAATAAAAATTTAATATTCAAACTGTAAAACCCTTAAATTGTAATGCAAAAACATGAGAATTTCACCATTTTCAGGGCATAGCCTATTTTTGCTGGCTATTAAATGTAAAAAATTTTCAGCATTAAAGGTATGCTGAAAATTTTTTCACTTTCAATGGAAGATGCTGGGGCACTTAAATATTTTATAGCTATTTTGTTCAAATTAGAAAAAAGTTCTTTTGAACTTCTACCACAAAAATAGGTCACTATGTCTTTGTTTAAGGGATAAATGTAAATATGTTTCTAATTCTTGATCGAAACGTTTGTTCGTCTCTTTCGTTTCTTTTCTTTCTTTTTAAAAAACATCTATTCTTCATTCTTTTGTTTACCAGAAGCTAATTCATCAAATAAATCACAAAAACTTAGAGATTCACCTCCATCTTGATCATCTCCAGAAGTAGAAGCTTCAGAATTTAATTCTTATTGAGATTTCCTCTACCATATTCTCTTTTTGAAATTTCATTTTGAATTTAATAAAAATGACAAGCATAAAGACTTGTTTTCTATATATGCTGAAAATCTTTTTTTATTGGGTTTTCTAGTTCTTCTGTTGTGGTATTAATGCC